CGCAGGCGGCGGCGGGGGCGGGGGTGGGGGGAGCAATGGAAGAATCTTTAATTTTGTCCCCCTCCCATTCTCACAATAGTTGAAATCGAAAAACAGACACGGAATCAAATCCGCCTTCAGATGAGCAGCTACGATGGAATCCCACACGATTACTTCCCCCCGTGAAGTAAAAAATGTTGAATTGAAAAACCAGAGCGTGTTCATTCAAGAACGAGAAGACGCTTTTCGCGGACATTATTGCCTCCTTCGATGATGATAGATTTTCACTCGTGCGCACCGAGATTTAAAGCAGGGGTGGGGAAAAAACGCCGAAGTTGCTACAACCAGTGACCACATTTCGGGAAACCCAACCTTGGGATCGAATATTACAAACCGGGTCATCGTCGTGTTTTATAGATAGGTCGATTAAAAGCACCCGGCGGGGGTAAAACAGAATAAAGCAGTTGCATAAATAGGACGGCTTCGATGGGAAAATCCTCCAGAAGCCTCTTCCAAACGGAAAAATAGTGATATTGACACTTTCCGAAACCAGGGAAATCCCTGCAAAGCGACTCCCAAACGCCTTCAATTTAACCATCAGTGATTTCGCGACCCTGGAAAAAATAAATAAATTCGGTGTCGGTCTCAAGATTAGTAATTTTTTTTTTTTAACCTTTCAATAGATAGCACAGAATGTAATGTTTTGACACGGTAAAATGATGAATTGTCTTATGGAGAGGGAGGGGGAGGGAGAGAGAATGAATATACAGTATGAATGAGTCTGGGGTTGGAGGAAAAAAGACCATTCGTTTGCAAAAACGGCTCTTATTACACAGCTGCATTTATTCCTTTCTCAAGTTATTCCAAGAGCTGGACAAAGACTAGAAGCACACGTTTAAAACGAACGAAACCCGAGGGCAGTATCGCCTCCCTTCTGACCAGGGTCGATTAGGCGAGCGGATTTCGACCCCCCTTCCGGCTGCGAGGCTGATTCCCCGACAGGCGTTTTGACATTTGCCCCCTCCCTTCCCCAAAACACGGCCACGTTTTCTCCAACTCTCGCCGGACGGGCGTCTCTTCGGCTGCCGTCCAATCACGACGGCGCGGCCTCTCGCCTCTCCCCTCCCGCCCACTTGGAGACCCCCTCCCGGCGACCGGCTTTGCGAGGCCCAAGGGGATAGGCCGGCAGGTGGAGCAGAGGTGGCCGCGGAGGAATGCCCAGCCTCCTCTCCGGGATAAATAGAGCCACGAGGCGACCTGGTTGGATGGCATTGGGAAGGGCCTGTCATTTTCTTCCAGGCAGGCAGAGCGGCAGAGGAAGGGGGAAGGGGGGGATAAGGAAACTAGAGGCGAGAGCGAAGCCCCCTCCCGCCCAAGGCAGTCGGCTACCTCTGTCTCTCGCGCTCGCTCGCTCTCTCCGAGTTAGGGGTCGCGGCCATTCGGCTTCGCTGGAAGGAGAAGCCGACCAACGGCACCAGAGGCCCCCGTGCCCCCCCCCCGCCCGCCTTTAACACTAGGGAGCCCCGCGCCGTCTGCCCGGGTGGAGAGCCCGGCGGCTACCGCTCTTCCATGGACGTGCTAGGCCACATGGACCTGACCGACGGCTCCCTCTGCTCCTTCTCGCCCGCCGGCGACTTCTACGACGACCCCTGTTTCAACACGTCGGACATGCACTTCTTCGAGGACTTGGACCCGCGGCTGGTGCACGTGGGAGGCCTGCTGAAGGCCGACGAGCACAGCCACCACCACGGCCACGAGGACGAGCACATCCGGGCGCCCAGCGGGCACCACCAGGCCGGACGCTGCCTGCTTTGGGCGTGCAAGGCCTGTAAGAGGAAGACCACCAACGCCGACCGCCGCAAGGCAGCCACCATGCGTGAGCGGAGGCGACTCAGCAAGGTCAACGAGGCCTTCGAGACCCTCAAGCGCTGCACCTCCACCAACCCGAACCAGCGCCTGCCCAAGGTGGAGATCCTGCGCAACGCCATCCGCTACATCGAAAGCCTGCAGGCGCTGCTGCGCGAGCAAGAGGATGTCTACTACCCAGTCCTGGAACACTACAGCGGCGACTCCGATGCATCCAGCCCCCGCTCCAATTGCTCCGACGGCATGGTGAGTCCGCGCGCTGGCGCGAGCACCCGCTGCTAACCCAGACACCTCGGTCTGCCTGTGCCTTGCATAGCGTGGGGACACGGACAGTCATCAAGGGCAGCTCCCCCCCCCCCCCCCCCCCC